GTGATGTGCGATATCTCGAGCGGTTCAATCAACAGTGTTTGCGACGGATTATACGCATCGTTCGTTGTGACAGAGTTGCGGACACTGAACTGTTGAACCAAAGTGGAATGTATGTACTGGACTGTATACTTTTGCTGAGACATTTGAGGTCGCTCGGTCATGTGTGGCATGTACATTCGACGCGGATACCGAAGAAGCTCTTACATGACCTACTGAGCTTGGGAAAAGGCACATGAGGAAACCGAAGCTTCTTTACCAGGACATGATCAAAGTGAGCCCTTCACCTTCTGATCTTGATTGTAAGTCATGGGAATCGAAAACGGTTGATCGGCGTGCATAGCACGATATGATCACGAAGGCCGTTGCCGAGGTGCAAGAGAAAGCCATCGTGCATGCAGAGAACAAGCGACAATTGCGGAAGCGACAGACACCGATGGGGTGTACTCCATCGACATCAAGCGCATGATGCTGTAGCCCATGCGGTCGCTAGTGCCTGAGTCAGACAGGGCTAGTGAGCCATGAGCGAGGCCACTCAGGTCTAACACCGAAACGGCGATGGGTCCTGCTGAGAACGTAAGCAGAGCCAGCGCAGCTTCGGTAGGTACCCTGCATTCGATTTACAAACTGCGTGCATGCGTGCTGAATTTCTTTATTTCAGGTGGTGAAAATCCAATCATGTCTCAATACCTATCTTCTTTTTACCTCCTCTTAACGTTTAGCTGTAGTTGCACACGTGCTTAAACCTATTTTGTTTAACTTCGCTAAAATTTTGGCGTCTGTGTCCTTTTTTAATAATATGTTTTCGGACCTCTTTCAATTATCGCGGATTTTTGGATAACCAATTTATTCTTATGCAAATTTAACGCAGTCTAATGTCTACACTTCCGCGTGTTCTATTCGATTTATTTTATTCGTTATTTTCATTTCAAGTGCTTGGCTGTTTTCTGACATCCCCGTTGTGCCTGCGCTTGATGTGCATGTTGACAAGGTGCCTACCTGTCTGTCACCCACTAATTCGTCTATACTGGCTCCAGGCGACAGTTGGTCGTTGCTGGAGGAGACCGAGTGCATTGCCCACATGACCGTGCTAGGCTCCAAGAGTGGTTCCATGCACTCAGTGTGAAGCGGACCACTGTCCAGTCACCGGTTTATGTGTGCTTGATTCCCCAAATACAGTGTTCTTGTGTTTGCCTGTGAAGAAATGTGGTTCGGTTCCGTTGAAGAAACGCAGCTCCCATCCACATGCCTCCCGGTATTATTCCTTCGGGTTTACATGGGATATGGGGTATGTTGATAGAGCTGTGTGTGGTGCAGCGCAAACCACGCATGGTCCCTCTGTAGGCGCAGGTGTCCTGCAGCTGTCCCCGTGGAGGTCGCATTGACAGGCAAATCCGAAACCGGATTCCGCCAACCAAGATAACTTGTGCGCACATTGTGTGCCTTGTGAAGACTCGGTTATTCTTACTGAACGGACATTGGCGAGGTCTATCCTTATTGTATGTGATATAAATTTTCAACGGAAGGGCTTAATTTTTCGACTAACGAGGGTTTCAGGAACCGGCGGAAATCAGATCCAAAAGTAAATGAACATGACTCTAGGGAATCGCGTGGTCAAACATTCCTCAAAATGTGGCCTAGCCGGTTATTTAAAGGAAATACAATTGACAAAATGGACCAAAATTTTGTTGTAAAGGATACGAAGTGTTGCGGAAACTTCTAGCTAGATTGCTGAAGTAGAAAGCCAAAATGATCATTGAATCTAGGTCGTTGTTAACTAAGTATGACACTGTAGTTCGTGAACACATGGTTGGGAAATAATAGCAGCAATTATTATTTAACTGTAGCAGATAAAATGCATTTTTGCGCATTTTGGTTAGGTAAGTGAAAATGAGTATCCTAAATCAGACAAACGAAATCATTTTTGCATAAATTTCAACAGAACTCCAGATGTATCTCACAAAATTCAGATGAGCTAAGTATTGCGCTGCATAAAAATGAAGGAGAATGTAATGAAGGTTGAGGCCTCGTTGATCTGCTTTATTAACATCAACAACATAAACGCAGGGAAACTTTCTGGACTGATTTTGATAGAACGGGAAATGAAGGAATTCATGTTGATTACTACCAAGGTTAGAGATGTGGCAATGCTCTTTATGGCTGGCTACCGACCCGGTGTCAAGAGATGCATCCACGAAATCAAGCTGCATTTCTGCTATGCACAAATCATTCCCTGAATATAACTTGTATACAAGCGGCTTCTATGATGATTCGTTTCGTACATTCGTTCTACAATAGACTGGTTAGTAACGTTCTTCTCAACAACTACCTGTCGTTGGAACACCTTGATTCGAGTGCTCAGTCTGTGGTAATTAGGCTATGGAAACTGGATGGCGTAGTTTAGCAGAGGCTTTAAATGCCGTGGTGCAGAATTGCATGGAAATCGTCAGTGCTAAGGAGCGACTCACATAGGAAGCAGAAAAATCCAGCTTTAATATCGGATACTTGTTAATTCTCATCCTAGTATTTTATTTCTACTTCCTCTCATTCTTAAGCCTTAGGAGTACTGTTCTCATCACGTCATGTGTGCCGTCCTTTACCGTGACTCCGCACCAATACAAACCTGAGGGGCCACTCATTTCGACTCGCAGAACAGTTTAGCAGCCTGGAGTGTCGCAAAATTTGCTTTTCCGTTCGTGTTTGTCACCCGTGGAATGCTCTCCTAGAATCGGTTGTCAATGCACCAACACTAACAGTATTCAAAAGTCGGTTGCATGACGCACTCATCCACTTACACATTGTCACTTAGTGCTACGTCTGTATCATACACCTGGAGTTTAACATATATTTATTTGATGTCAACTGCGGGTGCTGTGAACCTAAGCGGATTGGAGGACTACAGCGGAGCAAACGTTAGGTCCTCATTTCATATTTAAAGTACTAACTGTTTTACTATTATTACTATTACTAGTAGCATTATCGCTATTTCGATATCCCCATCAATTATCCAACGAGACCTGTAAAGTAACGCTTTTTAACCCGTATAAATTCATTATTCATTGTCCAACTAAATATCTTCCAATAAAATGTATGGATCTGCAGCTGAGTTCTGGCAGGCCCACAGCGCTGAACTTGACTTCTTTAGCAAATGACGAAACTGGACAGTTAAATGGATGAATCCAAAAAGGTGCTCTGTTTTGGAGGTAATGATGTGGCGTCGAATCCGTCAGAACAAATACACAGATGGGGAGTATTTGCATGATATATTAATTGGATTTTATTCTCATGTGAAACGGAAAATGCTGTCTGTTAGAAACAGATGGTCTGCTGAGATTTGTCGTAATTTTCACAAATGCATGACCTTGTAAGCAAAGAACATTTCCAGATAATGTCAAATTATTTTAATGATAAACATGACCGCCACTTTTCGAATTTACGGCATATATAGTAAAAGCTGAACTGTCTGCCCAAAGGAGTATACCGCAAAAGCTTCAGAAAACGAAAATTTCACTGGAGCGTGTGAAGTTCTGAGCTTCATACAGAAATATCCCCACACGAAATCTACACTAAATGTTTTGCTTTTGATGTGCATCTCATTTATTCGAGCTATTGTCATTTCCAGCCATGAGCTCACTTGGTCAGAAATCGAGCTTATATGTAACTAACTTATAACAGCATTGAACGAGATGATACTCACGGATTTAGCAGTCCTTTTCATAGGGTTAGAATTTGCGGATGGATTGAATTTCGACCACATTATCGGCAAATTTGTCCTAACTACGGCATGAAAAGTGTGTTTGTGAATTTTTACGCAGATATTGCAACAATACACATATCTGCATCTATAGGAAGACTCTGTATGTAGTGTTTTAAATATAAATTTTAACGGATCTTACGTCGTGGTGAAGGTCTACACATTCACAACTGCCAGCGGCAAAGAACGCATCTGCTATGCCACTGCAGTCAAATTTGTCAAAAGCTCAATTTTGCCGCACTCAAGGTTTCACAATGGAATTTTAACCTTAACCTTTTAACCCTTTTAACCTCCATTTAAACCAAATTTATACAATCCGTCATGTGTGCATCGCGGTCAATGTATTGTTGAACTGGACTGTAGGTGGTTAGATATTTGTAAAATCATCTGCATTTTTAGATGGTCACCAAATCGTTATATAATAATAAAGTGCCAGTTAATTTTAAGGATAGCCTAGTCACCAGACAGGCATAATTGAATCTGTTAGTGTAGTGTTTCACTGCTAAATATTTAACTTTTTGAACACAGTTTTCTCTAATAACCAACAAATAGATTATGTGTAAAATCAACTGCAAAAGTAACACAAGACGTGGATTGCCGATCAGCTGATGTAGACTGTAAAATCAAGTACCGTCAAGCACACTGAATCCTAAGTTACTTCTTTATTCCAGTTGCTCAGCAACTATCACCTGAAGTCTTTACTTCCTGTCTGGTTGAAATGCCCAATGATTGGTCCTGCGCAGGTTGAGTAACCATTTCTTCTAGCCAACGCATAGTCCGGGAACTTTCATTTGCCTGATGGGTAGATGTGAAAGATTTATGAAATTCTTCAGCTCTCCGCTGTACAGAAGAATATACATACGGGACTTTGTTATCAAGAAGATCAAGCTATTCCATCTACCCTGCTGATGCAACTTTGATTACCGGAATATGTTTTCGATACCCATTTCCTTCCAACTTGAATTCATCCTATGTTCATAGAAAGTAGAAGTCACGATTGAAATTCACACACAATAATGTGCCTCGACGGGAATCGATCACCGGCCCAACGAATTTCCGGTCCGCTGCTCTACCACTGAGCTACCGTGGGCTGACCATTAGGTGCGCGCATTATTGTGTGTGAATTTTAATCGTGACTTCTACTTTCTATGAACTTTACACCACTCACAAACATCTACAATTCATTCTAAGTTGTTATGTGCTATTTGAACAGTGCTTCTGTCTGGGCTGCAAACATGACAGATGAAATATGCAATTCCACTTGCAAGACAATACTCCACTCAACCATGTGGTTGGAAGTCTATCGAGCGTGAAAGATCTTGAGTACCCGCTTACACCCGCTATACTTTCACCGGACGACCTGTTCAAACTCACCACCAATGGGAATGTATTCAAGCGCAACGCATTGGACAGGGATGAGATTTGTGATCAGTTTCGGTGCTGTGACTCTCCTGTGTGTCATATAGGAATATATGCTTATTTGTTTGATTCAAAATCGATTCCCATGGCTTTGAATGTAGGTGTTATTATTTCGGATGAGAACGACAAGGCATTGTCATTTCCTATTTCAAACACTAGACTTCAATCCACATCAGAACAAGTATGTGAGATTTCTGTTCCAGAGTCAGCTCCTGTAGGGAGCAGATATCCACTTATTATGGCTGTTGATCGCGATTCCCCCAGTTATAGCTTGCAGAATTATCAGCTTCTATCAGTCAGATCCGAGGCTGATAATTTTGTAGTGTCGGGTTCGCCATTCAGCTTGATTGTGCCAACTTATGTATCCAAAGGTATAAAACATTGGAATGCCCCTGAACTGCAACTTGATCTTGTTTTGGACAGAGAGACAAAAATTGTGTACGAGTTTGTGCTGGTTGCAGAAGATGCTACGCCATTCATCAGAAATGCTACTTTACCCATTCGTGTCAGCGTGAAATATATGAATGACTACGCTCCGATATTTCTTAATTTGTCCTCGGATGCTATCCTGAAAATTCCCGATGATATTCCAACCGGGCCTTTGATTCATCACTTTAGTATCTCAGACCCGGACGAAGGTATAAATGGGGCAGTTGTCTTTTCCCTTGAATAGATCACCGTTTACTCCTCTCATAATCAATCCAACATTCATCACCTTGGCTCTAAGTATGCCATAAATCGGAAAACCGGAGAAGTACGCGTTACTACGAGAATGATTTTGAGCGTCGGTTCGTGCTAACAGCAAAAGCTATGGACCAAGGTTCGCCTAAACTCACGACAAGTGCAAGTTTGACAGTCTGCCTCATCGAGTTGGACCATAACAGTCCAGAAATTGAGGTGCTTGACCTAGATACAAACACCAAGATATGGATAAAGGCCCCACAGCACAAGTTGTGCTTCACGAAAACGACCCAAGCCCCAAGCTGCTTAACATGATATATGTTTCCGATGTAGACTCAGTGTCTAGTAGGCGGGTGTCATGCAGATTCGCTGATCAACATACGGGAGACTTTCGGCTGGTTTTCTATTCCGAGACCATGTACGGCTTGACAAATATCAGATCATTTGAGTTCGAACGTGAATTTAGCCAAACGGGACACCTAGCTGCCCGACTGACTTACTACGATAAGGCGGAGCCTCCCCGAACTACGCAGCATGACATCCAGATTCCGTTGGCTGACGTAAACGACAATTGGCCCTAGTTTGTCCAAACTAACTATCGTATTCATGTTACCGAGGATACGTCAGTGGACTCAGTCATTGGGAATGTTAGTGCATTAGATGCAGATCCAGGTTCGTGGGTCACAGTGACATTTGAGCGAACTGCAGGCAATGATTTGCTGAAATACCTTAAACCTGACTCAGAAACAGGCATTATTGGAAATAGTAGTAAGTTCGACTGTGAACTCCTAGATAACATTGAGTACCACCTAACTGCCGGGGATGACGGAAAGGAAGCACCTTGCTAGCGTAACGGAAGCGCAGGGCTCAAATTTCCGCATGCTCAAAAGACCAACACCACCAGCTTAACGGTCATAGTTCTAGACGTGAACGACAATCCCTCAGTTCATACAGGACCAACAGAGATACATCTGAATGAAAATGTACCAAAAGGAACGGAACTTGCTTTGTCTCTTGGCTTCTTGGATCCCGATTTAGGGGGAAACGGCACGGTCCACTCGTCAATTTTATCGGTTTTCAATCAAGCAGCTGAAAAGCTCACCACTTTTCACAGTCCGCCCTTCAGAATACTGAATTATTCGCGCCTGTTCACATGTGGAGATATTGACGACGAGACGCACCCGAGGATAATTTTGGCTCTTCTGGCAGAAGACCAGGGCAATGCGTTTCACTTAAGCTCAACCGTGAGTTTGACCGCTATGGTGGATGAACTCAACGACAACACATCGTATATGGTTCAGTCACACAAGAACGAATCGTATGGACATACGGTGAAATCGGCAGTTGTCTTACCTTTGAATAGTCCAGCGTACACGCTTGTCATCACTATTAGTGCGAGTGATGTGAATGCAGGTGACAAACGTCGTGTCACTTATCAGCTTTTAGGTGAAGAACGAACGGATGTGATAGATGGAGCGATAGATGAATTCATCGAAAGAAGTCAACGTGATTTCACTGGAACTGAATTTGTTGCTGGATCATATTATTTTTATATTGATGAGCACACTGTAAAGTGATTACTCTTTGGGGAGAGGAAAATGGGATCACACTGGATACATCTACTGCAGATCAAAATATGACGAGTAAATCTTTCCAAAGATTACTTCTGCAACCGATGCCTAGGACCAGTTTGTATATACTGCATGTAAAATTCACAGATTGTGGAGCACATGCTTTGTGCTCTCGTTCCACCATATATGTGAATGTGACCGAGAGTATGGAGGACTCCTGGCTTCTCAGTTTGCTTGCAATCAATAGTATTATCAGCACAATACTGCTAGTGTTTATAGTGCCGTGTCTATTAGTCTTGGCTACAGGTATTGTGGATGTAATCTTGTGGGCTCGACACCGCAAAGATGGAGTCGGAACTTCAGGACATCCGCTTTCCACATACACTGCCCCCACCATCATTTGTCATAATAACGTCGCCAACGGCTATTATTATCCTGTGAATTGTTCGACTTCTCTCAGTTTGAAATGTCTCGGTAAGCAAAGGGTATGGACCGGCTTTTATGAGGGTACATCATGTTCATCTAATGATAAGTGGTATATAGAACCCAGCAATGGTCTAAATAACTACAGTACATTCACACCAAACTTCAACATAGCAGCACGATTGATCCAGTAATACATCGGTCTAGTAGTTAAGACGCTGAGACCGTATATTTTTCAAATGACACAGGTTCATGAAGAACTTGAATCAGTTCTGTTGTCGGAACCTTATGCCTCGCACTCGGTCATGGATCTTCAAGTTATCCAAGACTTCGCAACACCAGGTCATTGCGACTGGATAGGTAACTATCCGGATGCAAACGATAGCGGTGTTGGAAGTGACAGTGGAGTAGATTGCGGAACTGACATCGTCGGAGCATTCGTTGGACAGATCCTGGATGTTCAGGAAGTAAAGATGGATACTATTCTGACCACCTGCTCTGGTCCAACTTTTGTCTCCAGTGCAGTTCAAAACTCTACTCAAAACACCGGTCTCCTAGCAGTCTTCACATTGAATACTAACACGCTTACGCGGATTACTTCCAGTCAGACTACAGGGTGGTTTTCAAGTTTCAACTCTGGTTCAAAGCATAATTTCACTCAGAGGTTTCGTAGAATAGAAAGATTGGAGACCGACAGTCGATAAGTCGTACCTTATGATCCAAATGATAAGACTGCTGCTTACATCTTATCTCATATTTTTCTTGAGACCAGACCGACCTAAACTTATTACCTTTACTTTGTTACATTTGCTCTGCTTACCCACTTTATATTTGTTGTTTAGATTTTTCGCAACAGCGAACAGTTGACTATCAGGTTAACTATTAGGTAGCTAAGGAATCATTGTGGCCCATGTTGCTAAATAGTATCCAAAAAACAATGAGGACATTTAGCAAAACTTCTGTAAAAGCTGATCAGGAGCACTTTCACCATCTAGTTCAATTAATGCTTTCCATTTGCTTGGCTTCCAGTCGATTCTACGGGCGAGAGAGTTGTTATCATTAGAGGCATTCCACTCACTGACAACGGCCTACGCTAACCCCATTCCACTAATAACAGATCTCGTTTGAGTGGTTTCTGGTTGATGGTTTTGCTTCTGTCCGACGAAACACATCATATCGCATACTTATAGTGGTCGACGTTCTGAGTTTGCTCAATTCCCTACGGCGGATTGCATGAAAACCGGACACTTTCGGCATCGCTGGTATCGCATAGATCGTGGGGGACACATTCGGCGTTTTGTCGTCAAATCTAGTGCCATTAAGTGCTGGGTACTATTACTCATCCGCTATATTCTCCCACAGAAGCGCCTGCGGACCATCACATGTTAAAGTGTCCATAAAAAGGCCAGCAGAAAGTGGAAAAATCTATCGCTAGTAATTTGGCTCTTGGACAAGATATTCAGTGAGTTGTATAACTTGGTGGACGACATCAAGAGTCGATTGTCTCTAATAGCAGTAGCTTCGATCGGCGGCCAAGCAAATGGTAAACAGTGATTGAAACAAATGGCGAATTTACTCAAAGTTTACTCATTTAAAGAGGTTTCTGCAAAATGTTTTTATTTTTATGTAAAGGAAATCCGTATCAAAAAGACAGGACAATTTCGCATTGACTTAGGATTCTACTAATACTTGCCATCTGTTGCTTCAAATTTGCAACCTTTCACCAATCATGATGTTTATTTTTGTTTGTCGCAATCAGCCGACAATTCAGATAAGTCAACTAGCTATCCGGAAAAGCACCAGACGGCCGTTTCGCCCTATTGGGCTGGTCAGTGGTGCGCATCCTGCGGTCCTCTGCGGAGGATCGAACCCATGACTGCTAGTGGCTCTTGCCAACTAGCCCGCAGCTTATGCAACTGCGCCATGGAGGACGGTATCTGACTATCATGAATTGTTAGCTAAATGCGATATAGCCCGACGCATCCCCCACTGCCATGCAGATGACAGCGGTCGACCTTCCGGCGTCAGGACTTCCCGGTTACGGTAGCTATGAATCGACATAGCATTTTGTGGAATCCGTACAGGCGAATTGGTATTACTTATGAATGGAAGGATTTTGGTGAGTATTTTTGTTCGTCGCAATCAGCCGACATTTCAGCTATGTCGACCAGCTATCCGGAAAAGCACCAGACGGCCGTTTCGCCCTATTGGGGCTCATCAGTGGTGCGCATCCTTCGGTCCTCTGCGGGGGATCGAACCTATGACTGCTAGTGGCTCTTGCCAACTAGCCCGCAGCTTATGCAACTGCGCCATGGAGGACGGTATCCGACTATCACGAACTGTTAGCTAAATGCGATATAGCCCGACCCATCCTCCATTGCCCTGCAGGCACCTGCCATGCAATGAACAATAATTTCTCACGGGTAAAAATGCTTGTGCTTGACGACTACCCTAGGAAGGTTGGATTACAATTTAAAAGCTGTAGGATCATTGAATAATTAAATGGTTATTTCAAGTGTCCACCGAGTTAAATGCACTACTGCATAACGATAGTTTGAAGTGGGGATGGGATGTGCACACACAAAATAGTAATGAGTGCTGTTAGCGTTCAGTAAGGGCGAGAAAAATAAAAAAAATGTAAACGACAACGCTCATTCATTTGTTTCTTCATTTAACATATGTGGTGTGTTAATCCAGTTTATCTACATTCAGGCTACTCACATGGACAATACTTCATGTATCCTCACCGCGAGGTTGCGGACAGTGCAGTTAAGCATAGGGACTGTATCAAGTAATGCAAGTTAGAAAGCATTACATCAAGGCGTTTTTTGTATAGCTTGAATGTAGGGGCAAGTATAACGGAAGTCGGAAGGGCATTCCAAGCAGGGGACACACGGAGGAAGAAAACGTTTCGTCGACAGCCAACTCGACTGTAGTGCGTAGCTAGTATAAGCGGATGGCCACCCAGGTTGGTATTTTGGCTCAGCTGCAACAGATTGCGACATGGGTGAGTTGGTTTCGTCAGGATTAAGTAAACAAGGATTAGGTTTCCTCGCTGACGTCGATATTCACCACTGTACAATCTCAGCGACTGCAGTCTGCGTAGGTAGGAGAAATGAAACAATCCTCTAAATAGTTTGGTCGCTCTACGTTGCGGAGCCTCAAGTGCATTGGCTTCACGCTTGCGCCAGGGACGCTGGGCCTCACGTAGGCGTTCAGCATTTGTGAAAAGACTGGTGGCTCAAAATAGCCGAAAACCCTCCGTAAGAATCGAAGAAATTGACTGGCTCTTTTTGCTTCTTTTTCAGCCTGTCTTGAGCAGCCCAAGTCGTCCAGCACGATCATCTCGAGGTCGTTTACTTGGGAAGCACGTTGCAACTGCTGGTCCCCAAATCTATCTTCATAGATAAGCTGATGGCGTATGCTTACGACTTCGCACTTGTTCACGTTGAATCGCAGCCGGTTGTCGGATAACCCACGTAAACCCTGTCGAGATGGCTCTGCAATACAGTACACTGCCAAGCTGGCTAATGAATGTTAGGAATAAACGTGGCTCCAATACCGACACTTTAGGCACGCCACACTTGACGTCATTTGGATCGGCAATAGAGCTGCGGGCACTCAGATTCAGCTAACGTTGCTCAAAGAAGTTGCTCATCCAACCGAGTATATGGTCACTGATTCCATAGCTTCTAAGCATGTGAAAAAGAATGCGGTGGTCCAAACGATCGAACGCTTTCAAGAAGTCCAGGTAGACAACATCAACTCCCACTCTGGCGTAGGCTGACTCTGTCCAGCTTGACCGGGCCAGCGGCGCGTTTGTAGTACAAGATCCATTTCAACGAAATCCGTGTTGCTGTGACATTAAGATGTTGTTGATCTCAAGATATACCATAAGCGCCTCTGCAATTATTCGTTCCATTAAATTGATAAGACTAGGAGGAGAGTGAGTAATTCGAGGGATTCAAAAGATTACCACTTTTGTAAATAGGAGTGCCTAGTTCATGTTTCCACATTGTCGGAACTTGAATTTTGTCGAGACAACGTTGAAAGAACCGAACTGGTGATTCGGCAAGTTTCATGGCCACTGTCTTCAATGGCTTCGGTTTGATGTACTCCATGCCAAGTTAGCTGTGCATGCTCAATGACATTAGGGTTTTCAGCACATTGGCTGCCGTGAACTGTAAGTGGTTTAACCCTGGTTGCGATGGAAGCTGTGCAAAAAGCGGATGGAATGATGATTCCCTCCGGAAAGTATGGATGAAGAGTTGACGAAGCACGTTGGCTGCATGTTGTGTGGTTTGAGCAAGACTATCTGTTGTTCGTAAAACCTGGATCCGGCGCTGCACTCTCTTGAGCTTGTTGAGGAGTTTTTATAGGAACTTGGGATTTGTACTGACTTCCGTCGCTAAGTTCTGTTGGTGCTGGAGGTTGTTTTTACGGATCAACTTGACGTTGAGATGTGTAAGCACCCACGTCAGCTTACTTGGACAGACTTTGTAATCGCGCCAGGCTTAATCCCTTAAGGCCATGCAGTTCTAGTACGGCTCCTCAGGAACAAACTCACTTGCTTCCGGCGAAGGATCTTGTTTCTGACGCATTTGCCACTATCTCAGTGAATTAGGTGACGAACAAGATCCAGGAGACATCGGGCGGCTTCTCGGCCAGGAAGGACCAGTCTGTTTCTTGAACGAGGTTGGACAGGATATCGTAATGTACAACGACGTAGGTTTCCAGGTTGTTCTCCCTGAGGTATTTCGAGTAACAGATATAACAAAGGAAAAATATCGCTTGATCGCTACGGCCAAGTGGCTCATCCATTGTTACGGTGTCGACCATTAATACCTCGTTGGAGAGCACAAAGTCTAAAACAGAAGGTGTGTCACCCGTTCGGAATCGCGTGCGAGAGATGTCCTTGTTGTACAGAGGTACATCGGCGATCACCTCTTGCAAATCCGCCTTTAATTGTTCGCTGTGCGATGCTGGAACTTCGATTACGTGCAGGGTGAATTCCCCCACCAGCAGGACGTGACTGTACGGTCGTGCCAGGATTCGTTTCAACGCAGATGCTAGGCATTTATCTAGTTCCAAGGTGGACATTGGAGCGCGGTAAACTATTGCTAGTAAACACACATCACCACATCTTAGGGGCATACGACACCAAAGAGAATCGACGACTTTCGTTTCTGGGTCCTCAATGGTATCAACATGCACGTCGGATCGATAATACAGGAGCACTCCCCCTCCTCTGCAAGGCCGATCGTTTCGGGTGTAAGTCATGCCGGTTAGTGCAATCTCAGCATCCGTAATCTCCGTGTGCAGCTATGTTTCCGTGACCATAACTAGGTCCCAGGGCGTGGAGACCTGAAGAATACAAGTTCGGTTTGCTCGCTGAGATGACCCTTTGCATTGGTATACAAGCAGGTGAGGGCATTTGTGGTCAGAAACGTGTTTGTGAACGCTAGTTTCCGGTGAGGGTATATACCGACCATTGTGGAGTCGGGTGCCGGTGGTTTTTTGTAGGACTGATGACGCAGGCCCTAGGGTCATGCTGTCCTGCTTCAGCCGTCGGTGTGTTTTGGCATGCTTTTCTTTCTGAGCTACACGGTGACAGAATTGTAATGGTAAGTTGAGTACTCAGTTCTACATTGTCTCACTGTGGCCCGGTGAATATTGCCTTTATGCATATTTCTGATGGCAGCAT